AGTTTGTATTTTCACTTGCTTTTCCATCACCATCCCATTCTCTTAACTCTTCTGTACATTTAATTCTCTAATGCACTGAGATTCCCTGGTTGCAGTAGTATCCTGATGACCACTTCTGTTCCACCGTATTCATTGGCCTCTCTCCCATGAGTCAGTGAGTACTGTTGTTTCCTAGGGAGAGCTCCTTTTGGTCCTTTCCACCAACGTTAGAAAAGAATACTTCATTTCTGACAAACTCCATTGCAACTGGCATGTCCCAGGTTATGTAGTTTTTATGACTTAGAAATCAACATAAAGTGTGCTGTAGTTCAGTGTTAAAACTATCTGAAAGGCTGCGCTTTCCCTGTAGTCTCTACCTTGGTGAGCGGCCACTCCCACTTGTTGGCAGACCTCTAGTGCTGAGACAGCAGCTTGAGATGCTGGCTTGTGGCTCCATAAAGTCGACATCTTAAGAAAAATATTTTTATTCGGAGAATGGCTAAATTAGCCAGGTATTACTGGTATTACTATAATAATACCACTTATTTTTTTTAAATGGACATAAACCTCTTATGTTTTTGTGTATTTTATCCAGCTTTCTACTCATAGGGCTGTAATCTGCTTATTTGAGGCTAGGCTTTTCCAGAGTCAAATTAAAGCACAGAATTCTGATTGGGTTTCAGATTTCAGTGCTGGCTGAAGGAGCAGGAAAAACTCTGGTGAACTCTCAGGTATATTCTCTGCTACATGCCCAGTGACTCATTCCATTGGGCTGGCTCTACTACTCAGTGCAGTTGCCTGGTCTGGAGAAACGGACTCCACCCAGCGCAAGGCACTGTAAACTACAGCACAGGGTGTGGGTGCGGAATCCACCCACAAGGAACTGCAGAGGTGGACGATAGTGTAATCGCTATGGGAAGGAAAGCATAAGAATGGTCTGTAGTGTTGTTGCAGTACCTCATGTTTTGTTTGCTTCTTTGGTCATTAACAGAAACTGCCTTAAACCTTTTAAGGAGTTCCGCTTACTACATGACAAGGTTACTCACTCACCGGCTTGCACTTCCTCTTGAATAGCTTACATGAGCAGCGATAGAGAAAGAGGAGAAATGACCACAGTGTCTCCTGAAATATCAGACCTGTGGTTCATTTTTGTCATTGAATATCCTGGAGGTTCCAGATTTCCAACAAACACCCGTCATCCCACAGATTCTTCGTTTGGTAAAACCTACATTTCCTTTATGTCTCATTATCAATTTCTTCTTGAATTGCCCTGGGTATTCCCTTTTCTAATCCTTAAATCAATATATATTAATATTGAGGGATAGAGCCTAGGCCCCCGGCTGGGTAAGTGCTCTACCATTTAGCTCTAGGCTCGGTCTTCCTTTCACTTGGATTTTGAAGTAGGATCTCAGTGTGATTCTCAAACTAACCTCAAACTATTTTTGTAGCCCACGCAGACCTTAAGTATATGATCCCCCTGCCCCAACCTTCCAACAAGCAGGAATTACAGGCTTGCACCACTAAATTATGAAGATTCTGTCAGATCCAATTTATTTGCCTTTCAAATTTCCTCATTTGAGTTTTTTCTTTACTAAAATATTTCACTTTTAGCTAAAACTTCTTACAAAGCCCTGGAGGCAGAAGCATCTAATTTTAAGAGGGAAATCTGAGTGTGTTTGTGCTTTTAGGCCGCAGATACTGAGTTTCTGGGTTTCATTGACTAGGATAAAATTCACCTATCTTTAGTCAACATCTAAGCACTTTGACTCGACTACATTTCTTTCTTACTTCAGAAAACTCCAATTTCCAGCATCTTTTCCCCATGAACATTCACTATTGATAGTATATACACACAAAACTTACTCTTGACTGGATGTTGTGGCATATATGTATAACCCCAATATTCAAAGACTAAGGCTGGTTGATTGTGAATTTGGGACCAGATTATGCTACCTAACAAGACACTGATTTAAAAAAAATATATCAAAACAAGCATATCCCGTCTTCCTCTTTTTTTTAAATAACTTATTTATTTTCATTTTATGTCCCTTGGTGTTTTGCCTGCATGTATGTTTGTGTGAGGATGTTAGGTGTTGGAGTCATAGACAGTTGTTAGCTGCCACGGAGATGCTGGGAATTGAACCTAGTACCCCGGGCTGAGCAGCCAGTGATCTTAACCACTGAGCCACCGCTTCACTCACAGCCTTTAGAGAGTTATAAACTGTCTTCTAGATTCAGCAAACTGGATCAAGGGTTAGCTTTGTTCACAGCTGCCCTTACCTGTCTCGCATATGGAGTCAGTGACCTTGCACTGGGATTCTTCAAAACGTGCTGGCCAACTGTGTCTAAAGGGTTTATTTCATTGGGAAAGTGATGTTGCTCTGGATAAGGTCCTTTAACACAAATAAGACAAGAGCAACATCCTTGGTATATGTGGGTGTGTGTTATAAATATACAACGTGTGTAAACATGTATTTCATGAATATTTTTATTGTGAATACATCATCAAAAGACTTTAAAATTTAGATGTATTAAGAACTGCTAAAAATATATATCTATGGTAATTACTGTTTTCCCTTGCTTAAAAGAATATTGTTAGTATTTTGTGGTTATGCCTTAAAATAATCATTCTCTCTTTTAACCATATGGCTAGGGTAATTTTTCAAATATACTTCACTGCAGAAATTCATTTTATTGCTTCTCTCTCACTCTAGAGCTTGGATTCCTTTAAGGGACATTTTTCTCACCTTATACCTTGCCCAACATATATAAATTATTTAATTAAATTTTGTGTAGCTTGATTATACTAGAAATGCCACTTTTAAGTTGAATTTACTCAGTGAGCAAGGAAAGTGTAACTACTGTCAATAAACAACCACAAACAAGTGGAGCTTTGCTAATATCAGTACCTAATGTTGGTGGTAAGGATATTAAATGGCATCGTCTTAACTGGCCCAAAGTCAATACAGCAGTTACACTGTTGTTCGTATAGAAATCCTGTTGTCATCTTCCTGCCCTTTGTAAGCTATTTGCTATAGGGAATCCAATCCCAACGAAGCATACACATCAATCAAATAATGCTGAAGCGCTTGCACTGCAAAGGTATGCAAGGGGTTAAATCACTCTGGTATTTTTTTTTCTTCCTTCTCTTTCTTTTAAAGGAGGGTAGCTTCTTGTCTGATCTCCTTATGGTCCTTGTCACAAGTCCACAGCTTTTAATCACTCATCCGTCCTGTGACTTACAGCACTGAGGGCACCATAATAATGCTCTAGCTTGCGTGGGTGATCTTCTTGATAAAATCCCGACAATCTCTCAATATAATGGGAAGACAATCAAAATAAAAAATGCTTGAAGGGTTCAGGTAGTAGGGCATACTATTTATTTTTCACTACGTGCAAGGATATTAAAATACTGACATTCATACTTTTGATTGAGTTCATGATGAAATCCAAGAAAAATTGAAAATTTGAATTATTCCACTGCCAGTACGGACTGTATATCATGAAGAGAAAGCCAGCCTGTATCGCCAACTCTGTACCGTGATGTGCACAGTGTCACGCTGCCTGTCCTCCTTTTGTTTCAGTTTCTGGAGGATTTCTAAGCAATTGATTCACTGTATGGTTCTTTTGTATTCTAATCACCCTGTGAAACTTTGTAAAGATATGTGATATTAATAATGGTGCCTGATGTTGGATGGCTACTAATGGTGCATGGTGTTGGGGTGGTTCAGATCTTTCAAGGTACTTTCCGTGAATTTATCTCACTGGACCCTAGCGGCTCTAGGGAGTAAACAGTGGGCTTCTCAGAATTCCCCCACCTGCCCCACACCATCTGCCAGCCCTGTGTCTGTCCTCTCACTCCTCCTTGTTCCTTCCTTGAGAGGAGTCAGTTTGGTGCAGAGGGAGGCAAGAGCAGAGTGTGGATCCAGGTATTGAGCTCTCCAGCCTTGTCTTGTTGAATAATTTTCCTTTCTCTATACATTGATTTTTCTAATTGGCAAAATAAGAATAATAATGACTGTATTCCCTGAGTTTCTATGCTTTTCCATTTGTCAGGCACAGATGGAAACCGTGAACAGGATAAGACAGGCCTGTTTGCCTCTTTCAAGGGAAGCTAGAAGGTTAGAATGAAAGCAGACATCGATATCTCTGCTTCTTAGTCATAGATTTGATGAAGACAGCCAAAGTTTTCTCAGCTTCGAGTTCTTAACTGGAAAATGGGCACAAAGCTGTGTATCTTTTGTAGTTGTTGAGACTATTACATATACATTGTGATCACAGCTCCACATACAAAAAGAAGCTTTAACCTTGTTTTGTCTTCATTATTTGCTCCCCTCCTACCCCACCTCAATTCTTTACATTTGGAAATTGTGTGGCATAGAAAGTGGGGGGGGGGACCTAAAGACGGAAGACTACTGAGATTTTATGATATCAAAATTAGTTAAGAGTTCCGAGAGAAGAAACGACTTAGTGAATAAGAGAACCTGAGTTAAAATCCCCAGTACTCCTACAAAAAGCCAGGTCTGGCTTCATGTTTCCCTAACCCCAGCACTGGTTTGGTGTACAAAAACAGGTTGGTCCTAAGATACTGATGACCAGTCTGTCAGGTTAGGTGAAATGGTACAATTCATATTTAATAAGAGTGTTTAATCACAGCATATAAGTTAAAGAGCAATAGAGAACCCCTGACATCCTTTTCTGGGTTCCACATGCCATATGCATGAACATGGCTATTCACAGTTACACACACACACACACACACACAAGCACACAAGCACACACGCACAGGCATGCACACACATTCAGCATTGAGTTTTTCTTTTCTAAAACCATACCCACCCTCTAACTGCATCAGCAGGAGGGGATGTAAGGAACTGTATGGTTGAGAGAGGAGCCTGTCATGTTAGGGTTCACTGGGTTTGTCTTCTAGATCCTGTCTGTGAGGACTTGAAGGTCACCTCCAGACTCTGTCTGGTAGGAATTGAATGTCACTGACATAATTCAATTCTTTCTTTTCACAGACAAGGAAACTGAGCTTGAGAGAAGAAAAGAGACTTGGGTGCCTCACCCACAAATCTGGTGAGTGCTGCTCATCTGGGTTTCTCTTTTTGGTTCCTTTAGGAACTGGGGGTACACAGTGTTGATGTGGACAGTTAGGATTCCATGCCTACAAGACTGCACAGTGCTCTTTAGTGTATGATGGAACATGTAAAAGAGGAGGGAAGGATAGGGGCCTGAAGCAGCTGTGAAATAAGTGGAAACAACTGACACTTTGAGGAGAGTAAGGTGACTTTTTGTGACTTTCCCAGGGGAATATGTGAGAAATAGTCTGGCCACTCCAGGAAAGACATTGACCACAGCCACCCAGAAAATAAGTGAATATAAAAGTTTGAGACATATGTATAATCTGAAAAAAAAAAGCAAAATAAAATCATGGCCAGTTTTCCATTACTCTAGCTTTGTGAACCAGAGGATGAATTGAGGTTAGTAGCAGGTGTTTGGGTGAGAAGTTACAGGAGTATAGGAGTGTCAAAGGAGTCTACAGGAATGAAAATTCCAATTTGCCAGCACAAAACTTGCTTCCTTGGAATTCTCTTCATATCTTGCAAGCAACTTGACGTAAATATATAACTTATATAAATTTGGGTAAGGTCCTTGGGACTTCTGTACCTTTCAGGAGTTTGCTGAGTCTTATGAGTTTTGTGAACTTCCTGAGTACTGTAAATTTCACTTATTTCCTCAACTTCAGTAAGCCTTTCTCACAGAGGACATTTTGCACTGAGAGTAACCATTTGTACCACAGAGTCCACACTGGAAACCCCAAGAGGACTGCAACTTGTTTCCCCTGCTTCTGGTCCATTTAGGGAAAGAATAGTGCCTGATTTTCAATACAGACTTTACATTTTTTTTTGATAGTTTATTTTTGATAGATTGAGGAAACCAATAGTTGAATGAGACATGAAATTAGAATAGTCCAAGAAAAAGAACAAGGCCATAGAAAATGTCGATGAGAACATTTAAATTATGGACGCTTATCCTGTTAGAGGTGACCAGATTCAGTAGGTCATGATTTCAAGACAGAGGGTCAATGTCATTATTGTATCATGAAAATTATTGAGATTTATGTGATAATGGCAGAAAACCCTCAAATAAACATGCTTATGTGTTAACTTGGTCAAAATTAAAGTTATTTGTCTCACTATAGATCATAGCTTAACATTTTTGGCTATATTGTTTTACAGAAACACAAATACTAAATTTTGAGGAAAATGTATAAATACTTTTCAAGAAAAAATATTAAGTTTACCAATTTTATCTAAACTGGAATTTAAGGAAACAGTGTCAACTGAGAAGTCTTGTTCTTTATCATACAGGAACTGAGAACGCTGGTAGTCTTCCTGCTATTACTATTTGCACATTAAGGAGACTCAATGAACTATGTTAGTCAGCTTTTTAAAAGATTAACCTATCAGGTATTGATAGATTGTGTTGGAATTGAAAAGACTGGAAAGAAGTGTGAAGATGTCTTAACTTCAAATTTTTTTTTTTATTTTTCCATTTAAAAATTTACACTTCCTTCCCTACCTCCCATTCCCCTCCCACTCTCCCACTCACTCTCTTCCCTCCTCCTCGCTCCTTAAGAGAAGACAGGGAACCCTGCCCTGTGGGAAGTCCAAGGCCCTCCCACTATATCCAGGCCTGCGAAGCTGTGAATCCAAATAGACTAGGGTACCAAAGAGTCAGTACATGCAGTAGAAACAAGTCCCAGTGACTTTATCAATGGCTTCTCAGTCAGCCCCCATTGTCAGCCACATTCAGAGAGTCTGGTTTGATCACATGCTCATTCAGATGGCTTCTCAGTCAGCCCCCATTGTCAGCCACATTCAGAGAGTCCGGTGTGATCACATGCTTACTCAGTACCAGTCCAGAAGGATTTGGTGAGCTCCCATTAGAACTGTCTCAGTGGGTGGACCAACCCCTCACATTCCAGACTTCCTTGCTCATCTTCTCCCTCCTTCTGCTCTTCAACTGGACCTTGGGAGCTCAGTTTGTTGCTCTAATGAGGGTCTCTGTCTCTATCTCCATCCTTAGCTGGATGAAGATTTCTATGGTGATATTCGAGATAATCATCAGTATGATAGTGGGGCAAGGACAGTCCAGGCACCCTCTCCTCTGCTGCCCAAGGACCTAGCTGGGGACATCCCCATGGACACCTGATCCCCTCTAGAGCCAAGTCTCTTGCCAATCATAAAATGGCACCCTTAATGTAGATATCTCCTTCCCTAATCCTATATCCACCCTTCCTAAATCTCCACCCTCCCACTCCCCAAAGCTCTCCCCAGTCTTTCCCTTCTCCCTTCTCTCTCTCCCTCTCCTCTTCTCCCAACCCCACCCCCACCCCTACCCCCACCCCCATGCTCCCAACTTTTTCCCCACGATCATGTTTGCTTCCAATTTCCAGGAGGATTTATATATGTTTTTCTTTGGGTTCACCTTGTTATTTGGCTTCTCTAGGCTTGTGAACTATAGACTTAATGTCCTTTGTTTATGGCTAGAGTCCACTAATGAGTGAGTACATACCATATTCTTCTTTTTGGGTCTCAGTTATCTCACTCAGGATAGTGTTTTCTATTTCCATCCATTTGCGTGCAAAATTGAAATTGTCATTGTTTTTTACTGCCGAGTAGTACTCTAATGCATATATATTACACACTTTATCCATTTTTCCATTGAGGGGCATCTAGGTTGTTTCAAAGTTCTGGCTATTAAAAATAATGCTGCTATGAACATAGTTGAACAAATGCTTTTGTAGTATGATTGGGCATCTTTTGGGTATATTCCCAAGAGTGGTATTGCTGAATCCTGAGGTGGGTTGATTCCCAATTTCCTGAGAAATTGCCACACTGATTTCCAAAGTGGTTTCACAAGTTTGCGTTCCCACCAGCAATGGATGAATGTTCCCCTTACTCCACATCCTCTCCAGTATAGGCTATCATTGGTGTTTTTGATTTTAGCCATTCTGACAGGAGTAAAATGGTATCTCAAAGTTGTTTTGATTTCCATTTCCCTGATTACTAGGGAGGTTGAGCATGACCTTAAGTGTCTTTTGACCATTTGAACTTCTTCTGTTGAGAATTATCTGTTCAGTTCAGTACCCCCCATTTTTTAATTGGGTTAATAAGAATTTTAATGTCTAGTTTCTTGAGTTCTTTATATATTTTGGAGATCAGACCTTTGTCTGATGCAGAGTTGGTGGAGGGAGATCTTCTCCCAGTCAGTAGGTTGCCTTTTTGTCTTAATGACAGTGTCCTTTGCTTCACAGAAGCTTCTCAGTTTCAGGAGGTCCCATTTATTCATTGTTGCCCTTACTGTCTGTGCTACTGGGGTTATATGTAGGAAGTGGTTAAATTATTTACTTTTAAAAAGGGATTAAATAATACAACTTTTCTGCTTATTAAAGAAAATCTGTCACATTAAGAAATGTCACAAGAGCATTTATATATAAATTCATAGAAATAAGAGAAAAATATGAGTTGTACACATGTGTATATTGTGTGTCTGTGCATGCTCACTCACATGTGCAAAAAAGTCTGTTTCTAGGCATTGTTTGGTACAAAGGTCTCTATTTCAGTCTTAGAACAAAATAAACATGTGACATGTGAGTTTATAATTATTTTATTGAACTTTCTTATTTTATGGCCCACTAATGGTTCATGGATCAGTTATACTGATGAGTGCTAAAAACCTACAGCTTCAATGAGGTTGGTTTTTAAAATCTATTCATCTATTTTCTTTTTTATTAATTTATTTTATTTTTCTTAGCATTTATTTTCAAATGCTAAGAAACTGCTCAATTCCAAGTCTTATTTTGCAACTATAGAAAAGCATAGAAGTATAATTTTTTATTATGGAGAAGGAACTAAAATATATTGTATGTGCCTAACTAGCAATATGTATATACTATTCTAAATTACTTTTAATTTCTAATGTAATTTTTTTCTTCTAAGATTGAGTGTATGTCTTACTACCAGATACCTTCATCACTTTTTAGGCTGAAATTGGTAGAAAATTTACCTTTTGATGTCACTTATCATTTGCAGTGAGCTAATATACCTGAAGGTTTTCTTTAAAAAGTTAACACCTCATGTATTTTATAGTGGGCTGTTTGCACCATATTTTATTTTGTGGACAGTTCTATTGTAAGGATTCCTTTGCTTTTCACTGTCTTTGCAAGTATGCATGCAGCTTCATACCCAAAAAAACAGGGTTGGGATAGAAGTATATATCTCAGTTTACTCTTCCCAAATTTGCCTAGTAAGTTAAGTTTCTTCATGTTCCCTGGGTCTAAGCAATAAATGAGTGGACACAGATCAGAAGGCCCCTCCAGTTCCATGAGCTAAACTTAAGTGCCTCAACACCAAGTATTAGTATTTTTTCTACTGTTTAGGAGAAGATTCAATTTAAAAAGCAGTGTAAAGGATTGCTTTGTTTTATTTCATTATATTTAACAAAGTACCTTAGCTCTTCTCCTGTTGACTCAGTAACTCAATAGGCTGAAGTTGATGGGGACTTCTGAGTTCATAGTTTAAGACCAATTTTGGTAACAAGAAAGTCTTCATCTTGATAACAAACAAGACAATGGAGGTTCAGTCTAGTGATCAATAATCTGGCCTACATAGGTTTAAAGTACTACTAAAAACTAAAGAATGTCAAAATTAGTCTAGGCATTACAAACTCCTTGCTTTATTAATATCTTGTCCACTGATAGCACCTTCAGCAGACTTAGTGAGAGTGAAAGATAGCATTTGTCAGTTTGGCTTGAAGAATCTTAAGTGAGTGAAAGATAGCATTTGTCAGTTTGGCTTGAAGAATCTTAAATGTTTCTAGAAGTCGTGTTATTATGAAAGAGTAACCCATTTGACACATACTATGTGCTCACTGAAATCAGTGTTTTTCCTTGTACAGACGATTTTCTAATGAACACATTTTTTTTTTTGAAGATAGTAGAATATCTATCAAGAGATATGTGCTTCAATGTGGAGACATAGGAGCTGTGAGGCCACACTGAATATCAGGGA